GCATGGCCATTGCTCGGCTGTTCTACCATGAGCCCAAGTACGCGTTCCTCGATGAAGGAACCTCTGCCGTATCCTCAGATGTTGAAGGCTTGCTTTATGAGCGGTGTAAGGAGAAGGGTATCACGGTCATAACTCTATCCACACGTGCAAGTCTTCGCAAATACCACACATTCAACCTAGTCCTGGGCCTTGGTGAGGAAGGATTTGATTGGGAACTGGTCCGAATCGGTACCGAGGAGGAGAAGTTGGGTGTGGAAAAGGAGATTGCTGAGTTGAAGGAGAAGTTGGCTATGGTGGAAACCTGGGAGAAGAGGAGAAACGAGATTCAGGATGAGCTGAATCACGTCTTTGTTGTTGGGGATGGGCAAGGCATACAACAAAAGGGGCCCTTGGAACGACCAGACTACATTGGAGAGGATGCTGAGTCGCCACAGGAGACTCAATGACCCATGACTGCTGTATGTTTTCTCTGTATCCATTACACATTCTGACCTGGCTAGGGTGTGGGAAGATATACATTCGGCCCATCACCACTCCAGGCATTCAGTTCCCTTATCACCAGCCAGTTGAGGTTGCGCATGTTCTTCTCTTCCTTGTCGTCCTTCATCCTGTCCTTTTCGACCTCTTTCATGTCTTTATGGAAGTCCTTTTCCTCCTTGCTTTTTTCTCTGTGATACCTGTCCAACGCCCTCTGTCTGTCCCTTTCCAACTTGGCGACGTCTCTGGACTTGTTCTTCCGCGTGGCTTCGGCCAATTTGTCGTCGATTTCCCGGAGGTGCTTGTCCAGGTCCTTGTTGATCTTTGCCATCTCCTTGTCAAAGTCCCTCTGGGCCTTGCCCGCTTCCTTCTCGTACTGGCCTTGGACCTTGTTCCGCTTCTCGATCAGTTTCTTCTCCCCATTCCGCCTGTCCCGCTCGTTGATCTTGACGTTCAGCCGACTCATCGCATTGGCGGGGACGTCGATCTCGGGGAGCGGTGTGATGTCCAGCTCGGCGATCCAGGGCTTCATGGCGTCCAGCCTCCGCTGCTGCCCGCTGACATCACCGCCGCCGTCCGCCGCGATGCCTTCCAGAGGCAGCAACAGCCTCGCCTTCTTGTTGAGCTTTCCGTCGGCGCCAAAGACACCTTCCATCCCGACCAACTTGGCTAGGGCCTCGGTCTTTGCAATCTCCACTTTCAAACCTCTCGGTCGAAAGATGTCGGTGTTGGCGCGACGCAATTCTATCTCCGTGCGCCCGTGCTGGATCACCCCCGCGGACACTTCGGCGGCGAGATTGACGGCGCCCCCGACAATCTGAGCCGTGCCCAGGGGTACCATGCCGACGAGGTTCCCGGCGAGACTGAGCGCCGTCAAGGGCGGTGACTTGACGGCCACTCGGTTCAGGTTGTCCAGAAAGGAGAGAAACAGCGTCGGGGAGATGTGGTATTGCGCGAGGCATGGCGGGTAGGCGCGCAGAAAGGGCGAGCCGTATTGGCCGAGCGTTGCGGGGATGGCGATGGGTTTGGGGAGGCGTGACGGGGACCGAGAGAGCGATGAGCCTGGCGAGGTCGGTGATGGGAGACGTGACCGGGAAGGGGAAATGGAGAGGCTTGGTGAGATTGGTGACGAAAGTGATTGGGAGTAGGGATAGCCTGCTTCTGCGGCCTTTCCTCTTGACTGGGCCGATGATTCTTCAATGGCTTGGGTATATGTTGGTGGTGGAGGCGGCGGTAAGGACGGATTTGGGTGTAGGTTCAGTCGTGCGGACTGGTGGTCGCTTGGTGTGTATGTTCCGTATGGTTGCTGACTTGACGTGGCAAAGCCATCGTAGTGGTCGTCGTAGTCGTAGTCGCGGTAGTCGTTGTACGGTGATTTGGAGCCACCCATGGTCAGCAGCGGCTTTGGTATGTATCACTGTAGTCGATTTCTGCTGTGTTAAATGTGTAGATGGATGGATGGATGCCGGATCTGTAGATAGACGTCTGTGACGGAAACCAACACTCTCTCTATATATGTGTTAAAAAAAATTCCCCGCCTGTACTTTGTACACTTCTTTTTCATCCACCCTCTCCATCTATCTCCCTTCATGAGTGAGGCTGCGCCGTAATATTGCACGATTTCCCAATTCGGCCCTATCCGCGATTGGCTGCAGGTGGGGGACTCGGTATCTAGCTCGCTGGGAACCAGGCACTGCCAGGGAGGGGGACCTTCGGAGTAGCCAGCCAGTCGCGCGTCTCTCTCGTACTTGTAGTAATTAGTTAGTAGTAGTGTGCCTGATTCAGCCTCCATCATTTTTCACCAGTCGATTTTTCTCTGGCCTCTCGCTCCATTTGTCGGACGGGGAGTGATCGACCGTGCATTTTTGCCACATTACTCTCGGGGTACTGGACGAAACAGCCACTAGTCTAGCGATGATTGGCAACTCGTACAATATGCCGCATGTGGAATGGTGGGCGTGTCGCGGGCCTGGCTGAGGACTGGTGGTGATTGGTGGCACGCGGCCAGGATCCGGGATGGTGGGTTGATCGTCCTCGTACTTCGTATGGTCGGTGGATGTCATTGTGCGTTCGAGGGGTCTAGGGCTGAGCTACTCGTGCTCGGAGAGCCCAAATGAAGAGTGGCTAGATAAGTAGGTGACAGGGTGTTGAGTCGAGTGTTGTGGTGAGGGTGAGATGAGGTCAGAGGGCAGCCATTCCTCTGTCTACTTGTACAAAGAGTGAGGCGCATGGGCTCTGCAGCCTCTTACTGCCACACCACACCACACCGTACTCAGCCCTTTATCCATGTCCCATTTCATCGCCTACTGGGATCATCCTACTCTAGGAGCATTTTTGTCATGGAACGTCCTTTTCTCTCTCTGCGCTGGTCTGTGATCTTCCCTGTGTCACTATGCCGGCTTCTGGAGCGAAAGGGGACTCGGTAGTTGCGCACATCTTACGCAGATGAACTTGATTGACAATACGACTCGGGAGACTCATGCCCAGAAGGCCTATAGCCACTAATTACCCAGCATCCACCGATCAGATAAACAAAGTCTACGTCTGAACAACTTCAAACAGCCGCCTTTCCTGCTCGTCACTCGCCAGAGTCTTCACCGTCCACGACCATAACTCCTCCTGCTTCGCCTCATCATAGCTGTCCACGCTCGACTTGATCTGCCTCCTCCCCTCGAAATATACCCCACTCGCCCCGTCATCCAGAGCCAGCCATGCCAGCGCCGCACCGGACTCTGCAGGCCTGTGAATGTTGGGCGACAGCACGAGTCGCAACAACGGGATCAGGGTGGGCAGGACGCGCTTCCACATGAACTGCAGCAAGGCCGGATACTGTCTGGCGAGGCCGGTGCCAGGCATGAGACCCGGGTCGAATGCGACGACGGTCCATTTCTTGTCGTCTGGCAGGCGTCGCAAGCGCCGGTCGAGCGCGTACGTCCAGAGCACGTTGCACAGCTTGCTGGTCGTGTACCTTTGGCGGCCGGGTATCTTGAGCGCCGGCCCAGTCGGGTGTGCCAGCTCTTCGGCCGTCGTGTAGTTTGCGTTCGGCATGCCCGTCTTTTGCACGGGGTCGTGCGTGCCGCTGGCGGTGACGACGATGCGCGCCTCGTCTGCGAGGTAAGGCTGGAGGAGGGAGAACAACAGGGCGTGTCCGACGTGGTTGATGCCAAAGGTCGCCTCGAACCCGTCCGCGGTGTATTTGATGCCGCCAGCGGGGAACTGGCTTCCCGCGTTCAACAACAGAGTTGAGATGGGTGGGAGGCTCTTCTGCGCCCATGTCTCGACAAAGGCCCTGACGTTCTTCAAGTCGCCCAGGTCCAGGGCCACGAACTGCACTGTGTTCCCACTCTTGAGGCGACGGTTGATCGATTCCGCATTTCCCTCTGCGTCCCTGCGTGACGCGATGACGACGCACCAGTCAGGCCGCTGCCGCGCGATCTCTGCCGCGGCGTGGAACCCCAGACCAGTCGTGCCGCCGGTGACGAGGACCGAGCGGGTGAAGTTGGGCATTGCGCTTGGTTTCTGATAGGTGTGACTTGACAAAATTGCGCGTTGCTAGTGATGCTTGATATATCGCGAACTTGTAGAACCTCCTAGACGTCGAGGAGCGTGACCTTGACCTTGACCTCAAAATGTTGATTGTTGTTCCTCGGCACCCTTAAGGGGTGCGACCCTATGACTATGGCTATGAGTCTGAGCATGAATATGTAAGTTGTTGAGAGGTGAGCCCGATGCTCGTACTCGTATACTGCAGTACATGTATCATTTTCACCCACCTTGAAAATAATTCCATCGCATCCCATCAGCCAATATGGAACTACGGGCCTGTCCATGTGCGAGGAAAAGCCCATCCATGCATAGATATGCATGACCCATGGCCAGTCCCAACACACCCTTTTTTTTTTCCTTTCCCGAAAACTTGTGAGCTTCTCCCTCTTGGGACTCGGTGCTAGGACTGGTTCCTGAACCACGTGGCGGCGTCAGAGACTGGCATACATACATACGAGGTACATAAACGGTGTAGCTCCCTCGTATTGCCGCACGACGACTGGGTAGATAGATATGAAGGGCCACGTGTGTCGTATTGTTTGTCTAGTGTATAATCTAGTTGCAGTGGTGTATCGAGTACCGAGTATACTCACAGAATCACTACTAGGTAGGTAGGGAGGCTGGAAGGATCAGTATTCATTCTCATTGGTGGAAAGCGATACTTCTGGATGCAGGCAGGGAAAGAGGCAATGCCCACAAGCGGGGCCCGGGTCCGCCTCGTCGTCTGCCTTGGCTCAGCCTCGTCTCGCTTGCCTCGCCTCACCTCGCGCCATCAAAATATGTACCTCGTACTTCTGGAGGTAGGGTGTTCAGGGTGTTGACCACATGCAAGGATCACGAGTAGCGAGTTACGAGGGACGCGTACTCAGTCTACCATCTACCAACGAGTATGGATGATTGGTTACGGAGGAACCACCCTCCACCCTCCAACCTAGCCCCGTATCTACCTACTCGGTCCAAGAAGATAAAAAAACCCCTCACAACCTCGACCTCGCACCAACCAGATCATCCCAATCCTTTTGGGTAAAGCGCACATAGCGACCCCCTCGCAGCACATAGACTTGATCGCCGCGTACCCGAGATGGGTCGACGCCTTCGGCCCGCGGCTGCACTTTCTCCTGCTTCAGGCCCATCGAGTTGAGGGAGCCGGTGGGGACGATGCGGAGGAAGAGGGGGATTGCAAAGCCGGGGAGGTCACGTTGGGCGTGGCTATACATTGTTAGCAGAGTGAACAGAGTCTCGTTGGGTTGGGAGGGAAAGGAAAAGAGAGGAGAGCAGAGGAGAATTGACAAAGAAAAGGAATGGACATAAAGGAGGAAAATACCTTAACAGCCCATCAAGATCAAACCCTTGCCCAACCTCCCCGTCCAGCATCAGCGCCGCACATCCCGCCCGCCCGTCGTGGTTGGGGACCTGCACGCCGTAGACATTGGCGTCAATCACCCCAGGGTACCTGCCCAGACACTCTGACACCTCTGCCGTCGAGACGTTCTCGCCTTTCCACCGAAACGTGTCGCCCAGCCGGTCGAGGAACGACCACCTCCCGTCGCTGTCGCGCTTGAGCGAGTCGCCCGTGCGGTACCACAGGTCGCCTTTCCGAAACACGTCGCGGGCCAGTTTCTTCTCCGTCGCCTCGCGGTTCCTCCAGTACCCGACGAACGCGGCCTCCGAGGCCAGCCGGAACAGCAGCTCGCCGCCGACCTCGTAGGGCATGCGGACCGCGAACCCCGTGGCGGCGTCGCGCACGATCTCGTGGCTCTCGGCGTCGACGAGCACGGGCACCATCTCCCCACGCAGCTGCCACCGGCGGAGCAGTCCGTCGTGGCCCACGGCATCGCGCAGAAACTCGCCCTCCTGGACGTTGAGGTGCGACAGACCCCCTTCGGTCGAGCCGTAGAACTCGCAGACCCTGGGAATGCCGAATCGAGACTGGAACCGGCCCCACACGTCGGGTCTCATGCCGTTGCCGTACACCATGCGGAGGTTGTGCTCGCGGTCGAGCGGTGAAGGGGGTTGAGCGAGCAGATAGCGCGCGATTTCGCCGACGTACGTGGCAATAGTTGAGCGAGAGGTTCGCACCTCGTCCCAGAACCGCGACGCTGAGAATTTCTTGCTGTTGTGACCCTGTCAGTCCAAGTAGCAGGCAAACCAAGACAGTCCTAGGAATGAATCGGGTCTTTCAAGCTCTAACTAACCCTATGCATAATGTCGTTGGCATAATCATGCAGATTATAGCAGCCGACCCTGCAGTGGAATGACACATTGGTATACAGATGTACCATCGATCCCCTGAGCCGTCTGCTCGCAAAGGTTGAATGCCCATCTGAGTGAACTGGCTGGCGAGTCGTGCGTAGTATCGGCCGATGGTCGCCATGACGCCCTTTGGATACCCCGTCGTGCCACTCTTGGAGGGTCAGCAATGCCAGACAGACAGAGTTCATTATCTTAGATCTCGGCAGAACATAACTCGGGAGGATTTTTGTACTTGGACACACCTCGTGTAGCGCAATGCTAGCCTCGTCTTCTCACCTATATCCTTGGTATACTCAGCTGCTGCGCTGGGCATCTCTCCTGGGAATCGTGCCAGCCGCGCCCGGAAATCTCCATCAATGACATGCACGCTGACTTGGAGCTGTTGTAGCTCTTTGTCCTCCAGTAACGACGAGGAGGAAACTCGGTCCCGAAAGTCTTCGTCGACGAGCAGGATCCTGCATTCCGCGATCTTCACACAGTGCACCAGCGCGCCGCCCACGAGATTGTAGTTGATCATCGCAGGGTAGCACCCGATGGCGAGCAGGCCGAGCCATCCCAGCACGAAGTCCGGGCTGTTGTGGAGGTAGAACCCGACACAGTCGCCGGGTCGGACGCCGGCTTCCAGGAACCACTGCGCGTAGCGGCAGGCATGCTCGCGGGCCTCGCGCCAGGTGTAGTTGTGGACCGTGGGCGGGCTGGTCGACGGGTCCGAGTACCAGATGCAGTCCCTGTCGGCGAACTTGTCGGCGTTCTCGCAGAACGAGGCCCAGAGGTTGATCTTGTTCTGCGCCTTCAGTCGCGCCTGGTACCGTTCCCCGCGGCGATGGTAGTAGATCTGCGTCAAGTCTTTTCCCAGGTGGAATTTGGCGTTGAGATAGGCTGAAAGGGCCGCGGCGCCGGCGAGTCCAACTGCTGCGGTTGTTGCTGCTACTACATTCACCACAACCACCAACACCGACGTTAGATATGACTTGCACACTCGAGTTGTAGTTCAACCGCCATACCCATTTCGATCTGCAGTAAAACAAAAGCTTAGGGAGGCGAATGCTTGGAGAGCCGAGCCTTTAAAATCGTGCAATGCTCTCCGAGCTTAGTATGTACTCTCCGATAGGTGTCTTTTACTCGAACCACAAAGCCAAGTCAAAGTCAATTCCCTCTAGACATTTAGATCCTAAGGTCTTTACGAGCATTCCCAAGGGTCTCAATTTTGTGTGTCCATGAACCCATGCATAGACAGCAAAGTGGAAGCGGGGTTTGGTACATTCCCCCAAACCAGGGCCGAGGCGCAACGATGGGGGCCATCAGGAGTGTCTTCGGCAATTTGGGGAGGGGAATTGGGGCGTTTCTGTTCGAACAGGGGTGGTCCCTGACGTGGTGTTCCGTTCCGTCGGATGCATCACGCCCTCCTAGATCCCATCTAGAGGACGACCGAGTGGAGCGGTTGCTGTCGCCGTGCGAGTGAAAACGCCCAGTGCTGGTTGCGTGAAGCGGTTCCGTAAGGGTCAAGATACGCGAAAGAGTGCCTGTAGGGGATAATCCTTGACGAAAGCCGGCTTGTCCGCTCCGGGTCTTGTATGCTTCTTAGAAATCTAGCAACTATCCAGGCCGAATGCCGCCCATCGTGAAGCATCTACCCGAGCATTCCAAAGAACAAGGGATCATTTGCCCCATTGCCAATGAGAAACTCGTCGAAGAAGCTATCACCCACGGCCGGCGACGAGAACAGTGTTAAGCCCGGGAAATCCCACTCGAAGACAAACTGCTCTGGCACAAACGTCTCAATCTCGTTCGCCGTCACGGTGCCTCCTGTGGTCCAGAAGAAATTGAGCGGTGAGCGAGAATCTGGCGGAATATTGACTTCCTCGAGATTACTCTGGTCGCCGGGAGGAGGGGGAGGAGGTGCCGTGCCGTCGTTTTGAAGTGCGCGGCCGTACTTTTGGATGCTTTGCTGGAGGACTTGCAGGTACATCCTGCTGGTGTTGCTGCGGCCGCCGCTTGTCCATCCACCCCCTGCCTTGTTGAGTTCATTCAGAAGCATATATCCGTCATCCAGCAGCTGTCGCTTCGAGCTGTCGTCCTCTTCAGGCAGCAGCCGGGTCAGTTTCAGGAGCAACAAAAAACAAAAGGCGCACTTGGCCCAGACAAAGTCCATCGCGTAGCAAAACTTGGACAGGTAATGCTGCGGCTGGTCCAGGATGATTCGGAGATGGCCCTTGAGAGCGTCCTTGGCCATGTGGAGGATGTCCCGCTGTGTCAAGGTCATGGCGGCAATGTTTTCACTGCCCAGAGCACGCAGCGCCCGGCACAGGGCAACAGTCTGAGACCAATACTTTTGCACTTCAAGGTTGAGCAGGAGTACCGGCGTCTCGGCACTTGGTGAACCTTGCATGATGTTCTTCCAGTCGTTGTACCAGACATCGATATCAACCTGAACGTCACGGAGGATGTCCATGACCGCTTCTTCATCCAGTACCTCCGTCCCCGCCATGGAGTCGTGCGTCCTCCCTCTGAGCGAGTTCAGCTCGACCTGCGATAGTAATCGAAGGTCCAGGACCGAGGTGAAGGGTTTGTCCAGAAGGATCCGGCATCGCCTTGGGTCGCCTCGTAGATGGAAACTCCGCAGATTACCTGCGTCCACCCGAAGAATCTGCTCGAGCACCATCAGCTGAAACCAAGCTCGAGCGCGTCTCATCAACACAGCATCAGCCTCGTCGTACTTCTGTGAGCCCGGACCCTTGGATAGTGGACTCCTACTAACAATCTTTCGGGTCAAATCCTCGTACGCGTCCGGAAGGCCCAAGTCGAGGGCCATCCTCGTTGCAAACGCAAGGAGCAGAGACCTCTCTGACGTATAGCAAGCAGTGACCAGGAGAGCTTGAACAGTCTCCAGAGACGCATGCTCGGGATTGACAATGACCAGGTTTAGCATCTTCTTCAGGTGGAAGTTGAGGAGATGACAGATTTGGGAATCTGCGTCACTGAGCACGCCGCACCCGATGGTGATGATTGCGTTGAAGAGTAGTGCACTCCGGGAACTGATCGACTCGAATGTATCGTGTAGAGCATCGAAGATGGGGACGTAGCGATCGCAACCTTGGAAGAAGGCGTTGAAGAACAACTCGGCTTGGTCAAGTGTGACGAGGCCTTTGGCAGCGAAGTTAGGCACCGAAGCCACCTCGACTTCAAACTGAGATCTAGTGCGCTTGCGACGCAGATGGCTGGGATTTGACTGCATTTCCGAACCAGCCCTGTTCAGACTTATCACTTGTTCTGGTGATCCAAAGGCAGAGGTGGTTGAGGTTGTCGCGTCGATGGCGCTGAGGGATGCGTAGAGGTCGTTCTGCTGAGACTCCAACCTCTCCTTGAGCATTTGCACCTCTTTCTCCAGAGCCTCGATCTTTCTTTGATTGGAACCAAGCGTATCAGGACCCGACAGAGGACGCGCGAGGACGTGGAAGGGGGCCGTGGGAGGGCTCACTGTTCATGGGCGTCTGGCGGTCTCTCGACGTACACGCAGACCTTTTTCAGATTGTGACATCTTTTGACTGTGAACACAAGAGACGTCGAATACCCCGGGACTCTGTTCTTCTGGACTCTCTTACCGAGAACAGGGTCTCTCTCCGTCGCATTTCACTTTGCTTGCTCTGCACGAGCCGCACGCTTTCTAAGGGGAGGAGAGAGTCAACATCCGACCCGACATTTCTACACGGGGTCAAAGAGTGAGCGACTCACTGGTATTCTTTTCTTGCCGATTGCCACAGAAGTAGCCGATACTTCTTCTTCCATGGTCGGAGAGGCGGAGATGGTCGAATCATTCACGCCATCGTTCTGGGATGGAGGTCGTCAATTAATGTTGCAGGGTTACGGTATATAAGAGGGAAAGAGTTTCGGAATCTGCTCCTCGGTAAATTGACACCGAAGAGGTGGGGATTTTTATCCTCTAGTAACTAACAGGGATTCGAGAAAGGCTCAAGAAGATGAAAAGGAGAGAATCTGCTTGTGCACGAAGGACGGGGGTGAGCCACCGATGCCTGTACTAAGCAATCCTGGCAATCCAGCCGCCCGTCTAGGTTACTTTGGCAATCCTTAACTGGAACAATAATCGGCTTCCACTTAATAGCACAGGTAGGACTTGATACGCTTACATCCTGCAGGGAGCTTACTCGTGCAATATACAACATGGCCGGTTTTGAACATTCTGGGATTATCAGAGCATCGCATCATTTACTTCATTCGTAGCCACCAGCAGAAAACCCCAGAAAAGCCCGCTCACTAATAGACGAAAATGAAATCCTCATTCTCCCAATCCGTTTTGTCATCGAACGCATGGTGGCCCGTCATGTCTTCGTCCTGCTCTTCAGAAGTGCCATTCGTTGACGCTGCTCGAACCCGATTCATGGATTTGTCGACCAAGACAGCGCGCTTGCCCATGCTCTCTCTGGTCTTCCCGTGTCGTTTGTTGAGCACGAGCAAGTAGCAGACCTGGGCGGCGTAGAGGCCTATAAGGACGACAAAGAGGGCAAGACTATGTTGGGGGTGAGGTTAGCACTTGTATTGAATGACATACATGTTCTAACACGTACTTGGACAGTAAGCCTCTGTGATAGAGTGGCGCTTCTCCAGTAGTATATAGATTGGGTCCAAGCACGTTGCCGGCGCATTGGGCGATGAAGAGTGCGCCGGTCGTGACCTTCTTCTTCGTCTCCCCAGCTGTGTTTGCCGCAGACCAGGAATAGATCAAGGGTGCTGAGCACGTTAGTGGCATTCAATGAGAGAAAATAAGGTCATGCGGATCTTACTGATGCCGGGGTAGACCGAAATCTGGATCTTCTGTCAATCATAGCCTGAAATCGGTAAAGTGCAAGAGAAAGAGACTCACCAAGTAGTAGGCCACCAACAGTGGCGCTTTGGCTGATGCATCTCGCGGAAGATGCAAAAGCATGGCGCAGCCTGCAATGGGTGGGAGGCTGAGGAATGCCAGGACGGGAGACTTGAGCTTCAAGGCCGTGGCGGCCCATGCACCTCCCATGGTAGCGATCAGCTGGACGGCACCAAAGGGCATGTTCAGAAGAATCGTTTCGAACTGATCAAAGCCAAAGTTCTTCACAATCAGTGGGCCAAAGGTCGAGACGCCGCCACTCGGCACAGAGATGGTAAACATCATGGCCGCCCAGAGCCATGTCTTGATATCGAGGGCTGCTTCTTTGACATGAGTCCATTTCCATTCAGTACCTTCGACACCCTGGTTGTTTGCCCTCAGCCTAGCTAGAGTTAGCCAGAGGTTACTGACAACGTCATACAGCAGGTCAGCCCACCTCTCGATGGCAATCAACTTGTCTTCGCCTTTGAGGAAATGCGCGGTAATAGGAGAATCCGGGAGGAAAAACCAAACTACCACGGAGAAAACAACCGTGATTAAGCCAAAGAACAGGAAAATAATCTGCCTCATCTGGTTAGAAATAATGTCCCTCCTTTAGACTTTCAGAACCGATAGGCATACCTGGTAAGGCTTAAGTGAACTCGAGTGAATGTGGCCAATTCCATAAGTCAACAGGGAGCCAACAATGTTGGTGATGCCGTTCATCGCATACCAGGCTCCGAGCCTGACGGGTTGCTCTCGTCGCCGCCACCACATCTGAGTGAGAGCGATGAAAGCGGGAGCTGTGAGCCAGTAAGTAAGGACATCGACTATAAAATATAGCCATCGACATACCCACGCCGGCCTCGAACAGGCCCAGGAATAACCGACACACCAGCAAGCCTGCAAAGTTGTGCGCTGCTGGCATGGCTGACAAGGAAATACCCCAGAGCAAGACGATGACGGCGAGAAACTTCCCCAGCGGCAACTTGACCAGTGCATAGGCGATCAGAGGCTGCGCCACCAGCTGCGCAAGGTAGACGACAGCGCCCAGCCAGGAATACTCGTGGCCGACGAGATTGGTGTCCTCGACAAGGCCAAACACCGAGGCGTAGGCCAATGTGGCCTTGTCCAAAGCCTGCAGGAAATA